CCAGGCTGGCCTCGAACTCACAGAGATCCGCCTGCCTCTGCCTCCCGAGTGCTGGGATTAAAGGCGTGCGCCACCACCGCCCGGCCTTGTTTTTTTTTTAAATAACCCAAATACAGGGTTTCTCTGTGTAGCTTTAGAGCCTGTCCTAGAACTCACTCTGTAGACCAGGCTGGCCATACAGAGATCCGCCTGCCTCTGCCTCCCAAGTGCTGGGACTAAAGGCGTGCGCTACCACCGCCCAGCCCATCTGGTTTGGGTTTTTTTCCTTCCTTTTTTGGGGGGGCTTAAGTATCTCACATCAGTGTTTGTAGTTTTGAGTATTATTTGAGTATGTTACTATAAATGGAATTGCTTGATATGTTCCAGTCTTCAGAGCTACTGTGTAGAAATACAATTGAGCCCTGCATCCTACCTTTCTGAATTCATCGGTGTAAACTGAATGAAAAAATGAAATAAAGGAGGAGGACATGACTACTCCTAAAGTGTGGAGAAGATTTTTATTGTAGTATGAAGGCGAAAGCAGGAGGAGGGCAGAGTCTAGGCTGAACATGGCTGGCAGGCTAAAGATGAGGAGCCACTGACCAAGAAACCAAGACCCAAACGGCTGAGGATTAGGGATATAAGGGATATAGAGGGATCGGGCTAGGGGAAGGGAAGTGGAAACCCTGTTCCCCCCACCCCCAGGAAGAGGTTTAGGGTGGGGCAGGTTGAGGAGGACTGGGGGGAGCCACAGGGACTTAGTGATTGGGGGCTGGGGGAGGACGGCAGCTGGCCACCATCTTCTCTGATACGTTACTGTGCCTCTCAGCCATTTGTCCCACGCTTGATAGCTAACATCAACAATACACAGAACTCATTCAAAAGGAACAGTTTGACTTATTCCTTTCCAGTCCAAGTGCCTCTTTCTCAATGGACTACTTGGGCTAGATCCTTTGTACCATTTTTTGAATGGAAGTGGGGAAAGATGTCTTCATTGAAATCCCAGCCCTAGGGAAATGTCAGTCTTTAATTACTGAGTGTGATCAGTTTGGTGGGGAGGGTGATTCTTTTTCTGTTCCTGGTTTTTTTTTTTTTTTTTTTTTTTTGGTTTTTCGAGACAGGGTTTCTCTGTGTAGCTTTGCGCCTTTCCTGACACTCACTTGGTAGTCCAGGCTGGCCTCGAACTCACAGAGATCCGCCTCTGCCTCCCAAGTGCTGGGATTAAAGGCGTGCGCCACCACCGCCCGGCCTGTTCCTGGTTTTTGATTTTTGTTGTTTCTCTGTGTAGCCCTGGCTGTCTTAGAACTCACTCTGTAGACCAGGCTGGCCTTGAACTCAGATCCACCTACATCTGCCTCTCAAGTGCTGGGATTAAAGGTGTGCCTCCCCCATTTTTAAAATTTTAATGAAAGAGTGATCAACTTGCCAACTAATTTTAAATTGTACTCTTATCAGGCTAGTTCCCCAGAGCTTTTTTGTATACATTTGTTTGTAATAGTTTTTAATGGGCAAAGAGCTACTGAAAAGTCCCTAAACAATTGCAATAACATACTAAAAATATTTATTATTTTAATATCTTCGTTTTACTGTTTTATAAATATAAACTAAAATTGATTTCTAATTGGTGCAGAAACATTTTTTTTTTTTTTTGTATTTCCAGTCAGTTTCACAGACTTTTAGTATAAAGTTTGTGACAATATTGGGAAAAAAACCAGTTGTTATCTTTTGAGGAGTTATGGGGACAGATAGGGTCTTGCTGTGTACCCCAGGCTGGCTGCCATTATGTCTGGCCTAGTTTATTATTCTAAATTTAATGAACAAAAAGTTTTTAAAAAAAAAATCCAACAAACACCAAGAATATACCATAATTAGCAAACACTGTTTTGTTAAATTTTGTGTTGTCTATTTTATATTATGATGCTTTAAAAAATACGAGCATAATTATATTGCAAGTAAATTCATGCGATGTGGTGGTGCACACTGGTCCTCAGTGAACTGAAGGTGAGGCCAGTCTGAGCTATAACTCCACGGCTTGTGTGGTAGAGGGATTATCCAGCATGCCTGAGGCCCTGGGTCCTCCAGCACCACAAAATAAAAACACAAGACAGTTATGATAAGACAGTTATAGTACCTTGATTAATGAAGGAATCCTTGCTGGAATTTTTTACTATTATTTTAACCTCTGAAGTTTCTATACCAAGTCAAAGTACCTTAGGTTCTAGACATAAAATATTATGACTTATGTGTGAAAATATGAAAACAAAAACAAACAAACAAAACAAAACACCTCCGAGAAACTAAAAGGAAAGCAGCAGGTGAGAAACTTCGGTGACTTCTGGGCTGCTAGTGAGTTTAGGACTGGACTGCAGGTTCTGGTCCTCGCTGGCTGAGTCAGCACCCATATGCATGCAGAGGGCAATGCAAAAATAGTTTATTATGATACAGTTCATGTAAAATCAAGCAGTATTTACACAATAAAAATGGTTAGCTACAGCCAAGGACTCTAGCTTGTCACACAAAGGAATAAATATTTCTACAAATTAACATTTCAATTGTAGTGAACACCTGACCACAAACTTTGTAGGAAACACCTCACACTGAATCATAAAATGTTTGAATGAGGATTTGGGGACACTTGATCTGCTGGAGGCCACACCCTGTGCACACACACTGAGGCCTAAGCTGGTTCTGGGAAGCTGGGCTCACAGCCTCCCTGGCTCGGTGAGGCTCCATTTTTCTTCTACATGTAATTTTTAGTCTGGCAATTAGACTTCTACAAGTCTAATTTTTAGTCTGGAACTCCCAAGTGCTGGATTAAGTTGTTAAGCATACAAGTTATACCAGACTGACTGTATCAGAACAGAAACCAAATAGCGGGTGAGATGGCTCAAGCCTGTGAGTGCTGCAAAGTCGCCCTGGGAGGTGCCTATTTGCAGACATGCAGCCCAGCCCCAGTCAAGCACTGTAATGGAAGGTTACCCAGAGTTCTGATTGTCAAGGAGCCACTGTGACTGGGATGTTTAATATTCTACATAACACACCTACAGAAAGCCACATGGGTTAAGTACCACAGAACTGGTTTTGAATCCTGGCATT